TAAACTTTTGTTTGAAGTAGTGTGGAAGGTCAACATCTTGATTATGTCATTATCTTCCATTTGAATTACATGTGTTTATCCATCTTAACTTTTGCTGTTGTTGACAGCCTTCAAGTAATGTGGTTTCTGTTATTTTGTAAAGTTGATGCTAACAAAAAGTATCAGTCATTCATGTTTTGGGTCTTATATAGACCAGCATGAGGTCATCATTAGGAGCTTAATTTCAGCCAATGAGCAGGCTTCTTATATTTACTGTGTACTACACCATCACAATAAGGGACATAACTCTTGTTTTTTCTAGGATTGCTTCCTTTTAATTGTAATTTATTTTAATTCCAATGTCTTATACACTGGCTGCGCCTGCTGTGCTTAGAAGCCAACTGTTTAGGCTAATCCTTGAAATGATATTTAACTGAAGTTGATGTTTCTATAATCAGCTAGTCTGGATTAAAGTAAAAATCTCATCATCTGATTACACTATAACTCAAATTTTTAACATACCTTCTATAAAAACACTATCACTATTACTAGTATGATAATATATTTAATACATCATTGGGTGATTAAAATGGACATTATTTTCTCACTGTTTTCTGTTACTTTTACTCTATAAATGAAAACAGATTCCCTGCAATAATTAGGAGAGAATTTTCAGATATCTAATGATATATTTTAAAGTTATATTTATTACTTCATAATTATCTCCCCTGTTTACTTAACTCATTTTCACCACCTACAAGCTTTATAGCAGGTGACCAGACATCAGAATACTTATCTTGGGAAGTGGATCCCATTAGCATTTTCAGCATTGAATTCTTACATATTGTAAGGGAGCTATAACTCTGAGTAAATAATTGTAATCTCCCTAACATTTATATATGCAAAAATACTCATAAAAATGAGAAACAACAAGACATGGAAACAATAAAACAAGTATTATTTATTATCTGATTGTTATGTGGTGTTGGAGACATGAGAGACAGTAATACTAAATAAAATTGTGAGTTTGGGTTTGAATTTAGATCAAATATGGATTGGAATAAGCAAAATGTATACAGTATTTCTTGTATGTTTTTTTATAGATGTGTGTAATGAGTGTCCAAATAATTTAGTTAAAAAACACAAGAAGTGTCTGAGGTTTTCTTACTTCAAATTTTTTGTTGAGTTCTAAAGATAAATTTTACTATTAAGGAAAAGGAAAAGGAAGTGAAATTTTTGTTGACACACATTTTAACGACCTGTCCATGTGAACTTCTTGTTTGATAGAATGTCACGTGTTTGTGTGTGTAGAGGAGAAAAGTGGGGTCGCTTCTCATTGGTTTAAAATGAGAGAATTAATGATAATTATAATTGTTATAATTATTTTATTATAATTATTTTTTTTACACTATAATTAATTTTTATTTATTTTTAATGGACACCACAATATACTCTGACAGAAAATAAAATTGCAACACTCCGGATATATGTTTCAATTTACTCAGGATTGAATGTACAAGTCATATAGTTGAATTACAGTTAATGATCACATATACAGGTTGATATTTGCACAGGTTTCAAAATAAAGGGCTGCATCAAGAACAGAGTGATTACACTGAATCAATTGCTATCCCCAATTCTAGGAAAGTTGGTTCACTGTGTCATGCCAGACAATTTTTCTTGCCAGAATCTATCTTACACATTTATAAATCTACCATTTATATGTTCATTGCATATTGATGCCATATCTGGTCTGGTGCTATGGCTATATATCTTGAGATTTTCAAGAACATTCACAAAGTAAGGTCTTCTGCAATGTTTTCTAAACTTACCTGAAATCTTGACTTCAGTCACTATCCCCACTGCAATGACATGGCTACCCTGTATCTTTTTCTATAAATATTTTCTTATAATGAGCTCTCCTCTTTGGTACCTTGATCACATGAATTTAAACGTACCACTAGTTTGGCATCTCGGTCTCAACATTATAAAGTTTTTCCTTGAGTGCAATTAAATTCCACAAAATCAAAGATAAAGTGACACACTTGAGGAGAAGCAACTCAACAACAGTATTAAATTTGAAGGTTTAATGTACAAAGATGTGTATGCACAAATAGGCAAAAGACTTGCAAATATATAGAAGAGTGTCCAAGGAACAAATGGGATTTGCTTGCCTCGTGGCTTCTGGACTCCATTAACATCAGAAAGGATGGCTCCAATATATGTATGATCACTATGGCTGTTACTTTGCAAAAGAGGAAGATTTCAGGTTCGAATTTATTGTGTGGCCCCAAGAAGGGATTCTGATTGGACAGTAGTTAGCCAATCAGAGTTCAGAATTAGTAATAATTTCAAGCTCAAGGTTGAGCTTTGAATGGTAAAGGGTTAGCTCCCTTTACTATAACTTTAAAATTCTTATATCATTTTACTTTTGAAATAACTAGATGCAATCATAAGTTCTATTCTAATAGTTTCTTTTCTCATATTTCTTGCCTGTGGAACTCTCTTTAAGGTTTCTTGCTTCTCTGCCACATAACTTCTTCAAAAATTTAAATGCAATGTCAGTTGCCATCTTTTGTCTTCCTGAAATTTATTCTTTTATTGTCCTTTCTCCTCATTAAACTCATTTCATTCTCTCTCATTCTCAGTAACCCCACACATCTTAGTGGCATTATTGCCTTGCTTGAGGTGAAATTATTAAAAACAATAACCCATTGCATACCATCTTGGGCTTTAACAAAAGTTTGTACTCTCATACAAACTAATAAAAACATGAGATTTAATCACTTACATGTAACACTAAATTTTGTCCAACTCCAGTCTTTATCAGTTACTGTTGGCCCTGGGGTCCTCTCAGAATCTGACATTCTTATGTGAATGTAAGAGAGTGTCTGTTCTCTCTGGGGTGGTTATTTATATATCTGTCTATATAATTCTTTCCCAGGTGTGCAGACCCCAGGTACAGTTGAGTTGTGTTGTACACATGTTGAGTTGGGTTATACACATCCCTGACATTGAATGAAGTGTGGATTTCTATTCACACTTGGAAGTCATCCCTCAAGCCAACCCTGCACCATATCTTCTCTGAAGAACATTACCCGTCTCGTGATAAGCATCACTGAATCCCACAGGAACAATCTAAAAGAAAAAAAAAAACAATTCCCTCCTACCACACTAGACACATCCTATCTAGGGTTTCTTGCTCTGTTGGCTCAGTTCTCTTCTATGAAAAAAACTGTTTACTTAATAGTTTTTTTGTCTTCTCAGACCATTTTTAATTTTTTTTCCCATCGAAAACCCCAAACAGTTAAGTGATCTTTCATTATCTCTGATTGTGAAAATACTTGACACTTCATTCTAAGATTCATATTGAAATACCAGTTCCCATATGATCACTGAAGCTAAGCAATGTTGAATTTGGTCAGTACCTAGATGGGTGATGATTGGGAATATCATGTGTTGTAAACTTGGATGAATAGGTGATGTAAGGGATAATGGCTAGGAATGGCTAATTGGAGAATCAAGTTCCAATTCTACTTGAGTTCCTTATATTCACTTACATGCTTTGGGAAAGGTATGCATCCACCTCTTCTCCCCTTAGCTATGGGCTAATTAATAAGACTTATATCATTAAAACCATTATTATCTCCCCACAAAAATTGTGTGCAAAATATTTAAATTTTGGCATAAAATAACTCAATAGAGGTTGATATACCACTAAACAAAAACAACCACCCAATCATTGTAAATTATAACCAATTAGTCAAATGCATAACTAGTGCTAACTGTAATGTTGTCATCTCATACAGATCAATAAAAACAAGACATAATTTCTCATATGGAACATTACAGTTTATTAAATTCTGAAATTCCTCAATTAGTCTGCCAGTGGTTGTGTGACCCCCTCTCTGAACATGGAAAGTACATTCTTGTATGGATGTAAGAGACACTCTGTTTTCTCTGGGGTGGGTGTTTATATGCAGAGTTCTGCAAAAATACCTCCCACATTTGAATCATTTTAAAATTAAAATTTTTTTATCGGTCATATGGTTCTTTCCCATGTGTGTACATACCAAGTGCAGCTGAGTCGATTATGTCTTCATGTCAAGCAAACCACTTACATTAAGTGAATGTTTTCTACATCCTGCAGCTAATTAGTCTGCTGATGTACCTGGTTTCTTTGACGTTCTATTAACTGTTGTTGCTTCTGCAACTGTTCACACTGATAGGGTTCTTCAAATCAACAAAGGTTCTTCATATCACACTCGCAAAGTCTTCCACCTTCTGCATGCACACCATCAGCAAAACTGGATTAACAATGACTGCTCACACTGTTATGTTTTTATAATTCTTCCATGTATCCAAGACATAACTACTGCTATTCATGTCAGTAGTGCCACCCATGCTAATCAGTGACGGTTTCCTCAAAGAGTTAGTTCACCTTGAGGACACAACCCATTTGGCAGCCAGTGCCACTCAGGTCAAGGGGAAAAATTTACTCACACTACACCAAACACACCCTATTCAGAGATTCTTACCCTGTTAGATAATTTCTCTTCTACAATAAGATAACACATTTTACTTAATAGTTTTTATCTTCTATGACAATTTTAATTTCTTTTGCCATCAAAAACCCTGAACAGTTAAGTGATCTTTCATTATCAGTGATTTTGAAAATAGTTGACACTTTGTTGTATGTTATGACCAATTAGTTAAATGCATTACTGGTGCTAACTGTAACATAAGCTGGTATCTCATACAGACTAATAAAAACACGAGGTTGTGGGGTTACTCCACTTGTCTGCCAAAGAATTTCTGCTACCAACAGGTAGATAGCATTGTCAAAAGCAGTATATAAGTAAAGGGTGCAAATGTCTCACCATTGTCTTTTAATCAAAACCTTTTCCATGTAAAAACTTTCTAAGCCTTTAATTTAAAAAATAGTCCTTGTTGCTTGAACAATTGTGGTGCATTTTTATTCACTTCAACCCAAATATTAATATTAAATATCTTTTCCTTAGATTGAGTCTCTTTTGGACAGCTTCCGATCTGATACAGGATTATCCCATAAACAGATTATTGATGCTTTTACTCAGATGCATAACAAAGAGGATATCCGTGTTTTTTTTCAAGTAAGTAAACTTCACTGATTCAGTTGATCATTTTTTTAAAATGAATCCTTATCATCCTCATCATTCCAAGAGTTTGAAATTTTGATCTCATTCTTTATGTTTGCATTTCTTATTACCAGAAAACAATCTCTTCACTTTAGGTATATAAAATTATTTTTTGTTGTTTCCCTTTAATATCTATAATGTATTTTCCATTAATGTGAAAATTGTTTTTATTCTAACTTTTTTATTCCCATTTTTATTTTGTTTTTATTTTATTCCCATTAATATCAGAATTGTTTTTTATTCTTCACTGAGGCCACTGATAATTTTTTTAATGAATCCTTATCATTCTGAGAGTTTAAAATTATGATTGCATTCTTCATATTGCTTTTTTTCATTACCACAAAACTATCTCTTCTCTTCAGGGAGTATGATGGAATTCTATTCTGTATGGGGGGTGAGATTTTTTTTTTTTTTTTGGTTTTCCATAAATGCCAACCAGAAAATGTCTACTGATGTACTCAGACTGTTATTTGTATCTTGGTTGTTATAGTAAGTCACTTTGAAATTCTTTGAAGGATAGCAATGACAAACATCTGAAGAAGGCCAGCGAGTACAACAACTCAAATGTTGTAACTATATTATTTACAACAGTATTGACTAGTGGTTCCCAAACTTCTTTTCTCTGGTGTTAAAATTTGCTTACATCTCACCAAATATTATGAAAAGTACATTTAAAAAGAAAAAAAAAGAAAAACTGAGAGAAGGTTAAAGGGAGATAACTGCAAATTCAAAGTTAGAACATCATCATTGATAATTCTCTCCTCCAATTTGCAAACCCTAATCACTATATTCTTAATACTTGATATAATGCAAAAATATCACAATCATAAAATTGATTAATAATTATTTACAATTATTTATACTGGGACTCATGCATGTAATTACAAGTAATTCATAATAATATTTTAAATTTTAAAATCATATTTTTGGCATATGAATTTTTTGAAACTGTTTTTAAATTTTTGATTGTCTTTCAATCATTCTGCTCCCCCTGCTATCCTCTTCTGCTGCATGCCACCCTGTTTAGGAATCACTAGTACAGATACTAGTCTAAGTGTATTAACAATAAAAAAGAAGAAGACTTGAAACCATGTTGGTCTTTACTTAAGTAAAGAACATCCTGCTTAAAACCAAAAGTTTTTATTTTTCTTTTGCAAGCAAGCTTATTACTCAATTAAAGCCCAAAAGCTCCCTGCCTAATAGTTTGAATTTATATGTCTGGACGTCATTTACTTGAGCATCATAAAGATGCTTCAATTGGGTCTGTCTGCCTATTTCTGGCACCCGCCAAAATACATGCATGCTAATCTTGGCCTTTCTTCACTACAAGCAGGCAACAAAGTAACTTCTAGTTTCATTTGTTTAAAACTTCAAACATATTAGTGCAGTAAACATTGTTGTATATAAATGATATGATAGAAATGAAATCTATTGTAACATCAAAAGCATAAAAAACATTGAATCATTTAAAGTGTAACCAGTTTTTTTTTACTAATGTCTGTTCTTGTACACCATTTATTCCTCAGGGTTTACTTGAACAAGTATTGGCTGGTGAAAACTATGATATTTTTGTACAGCTGATGGTTCAAAAGAACTTGGAATTGCAGCAACAAGCCCTGCTTCTGATATTCCAAACAATCGGCTGCATTCCAACGGCTTTTCAGACCAATGAACCAAGCAATCCAATTCCTGTTTCAAATAATGAAGTCCCAATAATGGAGGCTGTTTTCAAGTAAGTATCTTTTTAAAGACGCTACAAAGTAAATCTCTATCATTTAATCATTATGCCATAGCTATCCACTACAGGTGTGAGGGGGTGTCAAACATTTTAGGAAGCTGACAGGTTTTTTGGTGGGGTGGGGATTTGCAGATCGAAACAAACTCAAAGTAAAATCATATATACCAGGTGTAACAGCACGGGATAATTGTCTATTCCGCAAAATATTTAATATCTGAAAAAACGCTAAACTAATTGAGTTTCTTTTTTCCATGTTTTCACAAAAGACATTTAGCATCTTGACATCCTTTGTCGTAAGAATCACTGAAAAACATTTTGAGTTATTCAGTTAGAAAGAGAATGGGTTAAAATTGTTTTGTGTCGGCCCCAGTATATCTTCCCATCTGAGCAATGGTGAGATGAAAAAGACCATTCAGGCCTTCAATAATGGTACAAACATTCATCTCAAAGTCCATTGAAGAACCACCAACAGAATGGTGAATAAGTTTAAAAAAGAGGTAGCAGCAGAGAGGAAAACTGGATCAGGAGGTCATGACAGGAAGAGGGATCATCATTTCAACTTAGAGCTAAATACATTCTTATTGTTCAAAGTAGAGTCGAATAGTGTTATAAAAACCTCAGAGAATTCCAGTAAGATATCTTTAATTGTTTCTAAGATACAACGGTTTAAAGCGTAATCTAACAATTGGACAATTTTGCTGTTACACCTGGTATAAAACACTAATAATTGATAGTTGAACAGTATTGAACATTATTATGTCTAGTTTAATACATTATTTTTGACACTCAGAGCCAAAAGAGAAAAAGAAGGAAAAGAAATATGCAGAGAATGTAAAGAGACAAAAAAAATGATAAAAAGGAGAAATAACTACATTTGACACATATGCACACACACACGCACACACACACACACAAAAAGAGAAAAAAAAATCAACCTAACACCAATAACGAGAGCATTACAACTATCACATGAATTAATTACATCAAACTCAGTGTAAAGACAACGAAAAATGATCAAAAGGGCAGTCAATTGCTGAAACCTCCTGAAGAGCGGACTGAACAATTATGAAAATGTTTGTCTATGAAACTCTGGAGTTGAGTTACTAAATATAACATCATTCAGCTAATTGTTAAAGTGTCATGATAAATGTCACCATAAAATTTGTTTTATAGGATTGGAAACCTTACATATCATTAAAACTCTTGTATTATTTGTATGTTTGGCATTTATTTCTAACTTTATGTGGGTGTCTTGCCAAGGAGTGTGGGTAGTAAGATTGCCTAATAGATAAATGCTGAAGTTGTTTGCCTAATAGATAATTGCTGAGATTGTTTTCATAGGTTGCCCCACATTTGTGTTTCTCTGCTTGTAAATTGTAATATTGTAAATTTTGTCTGTGAGGATTTAAAAGAATTAATGTGTGTGTAGTAAATTCTTTGAGCTGAAATTTGATTGGCCTAAGTACTTTATGATGACACTTTTTTTCAGTGAAACAAAGAAAAATGGAGATCTTTTGGGTAATTGTGATGTTGACATGAAGAATTTCTTGGTCATTTCTGAAGCAGAGGCTGCTATGTTGGTGGAGCAGACGAACAAAGAACAAGAAAAAATGGAAGCGGTAATCCAATTGCAGAAATTTTCAACTTTCTTTTTTTTTTTTCCCCCGAAAAGCCTTTCTGATAAAAATCTGTGAAGGGCTTTACTGTTGTACACTGGACCTAGCAAAATACTCACACTTTATGCACAGGTGAACAAAATAAAAAATAATGATATCGCATAATGATCTAGCCCATTCAACTATTTCAGAATGTGCCTCACTCCTCCAACCACGGTCCAGCTTTACAAGAATGGGATCAAACCAAAAAATTGAGTATTGCTGCCATATATGGCCTGGAGCTGCTCAATCTTCACATTCCAGTCTTAATTGAGTCCTTCTGCCTGGTTTCATCTTTACAAGAGCCATATCAGGCCAAAAATGGTGTATTACTGTCATATATGGTTTGGAGCTGCTCAATTCTAACCTTCCAGCCTTGATGGAGTCCTTCTACCATGCTTCATCTTTACAAGAGTCAAATCAACTCCAAAATGGTGTATTGCTCCCATATATGGTTTAGAGCTGCTCAATCCCCTCCTTCCAGGCTTGAGGGGGTTCATCTGCCTGGCTTCATCTTTACAAGAGCCATATCAGGTCAAAAATGGTGTATTGCTGCCATATATGGCTTGGAGCTGCCTAATCCTAACCTTCCAGCTTTGATAGAGTCCTTTTGCCTTGCTTCATCTTTACAAGAGTCACATCAAGCCAAAAATGGAGTATTGCTGGTCTGGCGTTTCACAATCCTCACTTTTTAGCCTTATATTGTTTACATAAAACAAATTGAATAATCTAATTTCCACTCTGCACTCTCTTCCCCTACAGAAGAAACGTAAAAAGCCTATCTCTACTTTATTGTTATTTCCGTGGTAAATATTCAAATGAGCTCCATTCTCTAGTTCCATCAGTTCAGACCTTTTCTATGTACCTAATGCCAAATCACTCTCATTTCCACTGTATTCCATTTGTAAGGCAGAAGTTCCACTTAGACAACTTTTCCCAATTAATGCCACTTTGTGGAATAGACTCCCATGTGGGTACTTCCCTGAACACTAGAATCTTAACCACTTTGAGTCAACAGTCAGTCATTATCTATCCTCCTTATCCTCATAATATTTGCTTCCTTCTACTTCCTCTTACATTCAGTGATCCCCTAAAAATATTGGTAGAATATCATAACTGTTGAATATTGAAACAAACAGAATGAGGATATTGATTCTTGGTCAGAAAGCCTAACCAATTCCAGAGAACTTCTATTCTGCAGATCAAACTCTTGCATGTGTGTGTCCCTGAAAATGACCATCTTCACCTCTTCATGTCAAGGGTCAAGCACTGTCTATCCTCCTTATCCTTATAATTTTTACTTCTTTCTATCTCCCCTGATAAACCTCATTCAGTAATATTCGTTGAGTGGCTCTCGAGCCTTTTATTGATGAACATTAGTATTAAAAGAGGTCATTAGGCATTAGAATACTAAAAATACAAAAAAAAATATATTTCTAATTCATTATAATTTTTTTTGTAATATAGTTTAATCACAATGTTTCTTAGGCAGTATCCTTTTCCCTGAAATAATCTGTATACAAGATAGATTATAGATAGATATAAATTAATACCATAGTATTAATCTACCTTCCATGTAAGGTATGTCCTATGTTTGAAAAGAAAAAAAAATTAAATAAAGCTTCACCTATTTCAAAAGATCAATGGGATAAAGGAATAATAAAATTCAAGATGGCCAATGTTGTTTGTCTATGTTGCTTTCTGCTACAAGCCTTTTCACTTTGTTTTTCTCAAACTTTCTTACTTACCCTCTACTTTTCTTTCTTCATAACTTCTTTACTCCTTCCATCTCTCCATTTTTCCAATTCTGTTGTTGCATTGAAATGAACAGATAAGACAAATTATCTCTGTTTGAAGTTCTCGGATAAAGATTTATCATTCTTTACACGATTTACATTGTGTTTGTGTATGTGTGTTTATATATATAATTTGTCTTATTTACACTATTTACATTCAGACTATTGTTCCCATCTTTGTTGTTGTTATCACAATATGTCAGCTGTTGTGCCTTCCAGTCTTCATCAGGTATATTTCAATCTGGGTAACCTACAGGAAATTCTGAACTGAACCCTTTATTTAATCTATGGGGACAGTCTGTTCTCATTCCATTGCTCATGTCTACAGATATCTTGACTAGTTCTTATTTTTAGTACTGCTCAGTTATTGCTTCGCTGGTTACCCATAATGATATACACCTGATGAAGGCCAGTGGGCACAATAGCTGAAACATTGCAATAACAACAACAAAGATGCAGTCAATAGTCCAAATGTAAACAGTTTAAATAAAACAAATTATATGCAGACACGTGCACACACACACACACACACACATACACACACACACACACACATGTACATATATATTTATTCTCATCTACAAGCCAGAGTATTCAAGAAATCTTATTAAAGAAAAATATGCACTCTATAGCAGGATTTGAATTTGTGTCCCCCCCTTGGCAGGAGGAAACATTGTTAGATCCGACATGTTTATACCAACTCACCCATGAAGGGCATTCAAGCAAGGCTGTGAGCGGTTGGTTCTGTGCTGCAGCTGCCTTTATCAAATGCAGGTTTACTGCAGTCACTTCCGGCAGATGTGATTTTGAAGTCTGGAGGGTCCCTTGAGCTCAATGGAACTGTCATGGAAGATGCATGTCAGTTGCATCCAAAGAAGGATGTATAACATATCAACCTGTCAGAATTGGACGCTGTCATTAAAGGGGCAACTGTGGCCCTTCAATGGAATGCAACAGTGTTGTATTTATTCACAGATTACATACATGTGCAATAGTGGATATCAGACACTCTTATGGGAAAGGCTAGGATACATACAAAGGCTGCAAGTGAAGTGCTCATTCGAAGGTGGCTAGACACACTAGGAAAATTGGTAAATGAATATAACTTATCAGTGGATATACAACTTTTCAAATTGAACTGGAATAAAGGGGATAGATTAACAGAAAGAGGTAGAGCCAGTGGGACATGTCTATGCAACATCGGCAAACAACTGTAACTTAGATCTACTAAAATCAGTGCATTGTCAAAGCAGACATCCTGGTATAAAATGAACCCTGTATTTCATGAGGCAGATTGATCCCTCCATATCCAAAGCTACCATCATATCAGTGGTCAAAGAATGCAAGCAGTCCCAGTCTATCAACCCACCACCTGTGCAATGACCAAAAGGACAACTAAATGTGATCAAAGTGTGGAACCAGGTTGGAATGGACATCACCCACCACAATGGAAACTACTATATAACTCTGATTAATCCACCCGGTTCACTATCTGGTGACACCTGTGTTAACAGAATTTCACAAGCGTCACTGACTTCTTGGGGGCATTATTCTTTGAATATGGACCTTTGATAGAACTCCTCACTGAAAATGACACTGCATTCTACAGCGGACTTTTTAAAACCTTTTTGGTTTCATGGGGAGTCCATTTCCAATTTTGCTGTGCATATGTCCATCAGGAAATGGCTTAATCAAGCAATGTCATCACAACATCAAGAGAATTGCTACCAGGAAGCAGTGTTCTGAAATGGAAATAGTATATTGGCACAATATCACCCCTAAAGATGATGTATTAAAGGCCCACACAGCTGGTGTACAACTTGGTACTGGGTGGGGGATATCACTGGAATCAGTAGCTTGCATACTATGCTGGTTGATGGAATGCCAAGATGCATAAAAGACTTGTATCCCTGTGTAATTTTTGGACATTTCAGCAAATGACACCAGCAGTGAGTGCGCTCAAGAAGTGAAAGGATAGTCACCATTGCAGATGAGGCCACACAGTACCTCTTCAGATGGGGAAGACCCTGTGCATATGAGGTTGTTCAACCAGAGGACTCCTCAGGAGATGATTCTTCTCAACACACCATTCAATCCCCTCTAGTAATTGCCCCACTCTGGAGAAGATTAAGATTAAAGAGGCCTGTCCCCATGTGTCACCTATGTGACAGGAGGGAGTGTAACTAAAGAGAAAATCACCTGCCTCAAAAAAGTGTTTGTGTTTTGTGTGTGGTCTGCTGGATGAAAAATAAAGAAAATTGTTAACAAAAACCTGTCACTTTAAGTATCAGAAGACCCTTCCTCCATGACTGGCATGGCCAATCAGAAAAATTGCTCTGTGAATAAAAGCCGTTGCTTTGATTAATGAGGGAAGAATGGTTTTTGAGCTTGTGTTTCCTCTGTTGAACGTGGAAGATTGGATTTTTGACCCTCTTTTTTTTTGTTAATTTGCTGAACTGTTTGTGGCCACTTTGCTTTTTGGACTTTTTGAACACAAATTTTCACAGAAGATTTAGAATTTGGCCGTTTTCTTTTAATTTTTTAAATTTTCCATTTGTCTTAATTCATATTGTCTTTTTACAGGTTATATTTTTAGTTATATCTGAATTTTTACACACATATATACGTGTCTGTCTTTATACATATGATATTTTATATTTGCTAATATAAAAAAATGCAAGAAAAAATTATTGTAGGCTTAATGTATTTTTCAAATATTCTACAAATGCATAGTTGCATAAATGGCTTCTTTTCATCCTTGTTATGGATCTATGAAAGCCAAAAATTCTAAGAGAATCACAAATATAATGTCATACCACTGCTGAGCTTTACCAAGTGTGTTTTGTTATTTAGCCAGGCTCAATACCAAGTGTAGGTCAAGGTAAGAGGCTGCACTCTAAAATTGGGGGTACATACATCTACTGATTTATAGGCATTATGGAGATTCAACTCCCAGAGATCTATGCCTGTAAATAAGTATGGTTTGTCAGGTTAACCTTTAATTGTTAAGAGTTATACCTCGCTTGATGAAAAGTATTTCTCCTTTGCTCCTAAGTAGTAAACAAGATTCCCTTTATGTCAACAGAAATTTATATTTATTTAGCCTTAGTCTGGTAGAAAACGACAATAATGAAGTCCCCTTAAGCTTTAATTATTAATAATGTTACATTGTTTGATGAAAACTCTTTTTTTCCTTTGGTTACAGGCAGTCAAGAAACTTTCACTTACTTCAACAGAGGGCAATACGGATGATAAGAAACTGGAAACTCCAAAGGTTCCTGAATTGAGGATAAAACCTCCTGTAAGTTTTCTCAATGGAATTTGTCAGTGTAATGATTCATAAATAAGAAGCAGGAGTTGCATCCCCTGTTTTGTTCGGTCGTAGTAAAGTAAAATAAAAGAAGTAGAATTCCCATAATGCATCAGAAAGACAGTTTTCGTGCAAAAAATACAAAGTCTCTTTCTCTGACCACCAACTGTTGCACCAGAAAGACTTGTTTTCTTAAATGAGCTCATTAGAAAGATGTCTCATTCAGATAAGCCTGAAACCATTTCTTTCTTTGTATTAATACATACCAATCAATATATGTTCTGTGAATAATATGAATTATGTAAGCAATTGTATGTTTATGAATATTAATTTAGCATGTTGTGGATGGATGATATAATCCCAGATAAAAATAACAAAACCAAAAACAAGGTCTCATATCATTTGCACTCGCACAATATCGCTGACATAATATGAATGTACTTTCCGGTTCCCCTTGATGAACTAAAACTGAAAATTCACTTTCTTTTTTGAGGGAGGGGGGCGACACTGTGCTTCAAAATTAAATCCGCCAGTAATATTCTAGCTCCTGTTTTTGTACAAACTTCATGATGTCTTGCTCAGGCACATTTTCAGATCTGGTTTCTAAAAGAGTAAAGAGTAGGTAATTTTTAAATATGCTTGGAAACAGGATTTTTCCTCTTGGTGTGTGATAAAAGATTTGGGCAAATGCAGGTATTTGGAGAAAATATTTATTTATTTTTTTGTTTCTTTGGAAAGAAATATGATTTTTGCCTTCAGTGGAACAGTAAAAATTCAGCAGGTCTATTTCTTCTTGGTAAAATCTGTAATGTTGTTGGTCCTGACCTGACATCTCGCCTTCAGACTTTGCATAGACACCTAAAAGAAATGTGACTCAGACTTGAGCAGAAATAGTCTTTTGCAACATGACATAACTGGCTTGTGAATAGAGATAACTTTTTGTAGTTTTCCTTTTCAGGGTTAGAGAGAAAGCATGTAACACTTTTCTATACTTTGTTAGCCTGTTCTCAGTCTCAAATATAAAAACTTCATTTATTTTGTTCCAACTTCTCTCTAGCTGTCATTTATTTTTTTTATTATAAATATTTGGGCAATTGTCTGCTTTCAACAGCCAAAATAAAGGACTCCCAATATATATTTGGTAACTCAACAAAACCAAATTAATTTAGCATTATTTTGGCCAAAAAGGTTTACATTACATTTTACAGATAAAATTTGATCATTGATATAATATCTTATAATTCTGATGTCTGGGTGTGCATAACTTACCTCCCTTGAAAATAATCGACAAGATATCTTGTAAAGATTTTGTTTAGTAGCAGCCAACAACACATTTTGCTATTATAATTGTTATAGATCTTTTCAATACTAAAAATAAAGCAATTTAATCTCCACCCTCCTTGATAGTAAACTATAGTGCTACCTATTTTCACAAGACAGTAATATTTTTTCCTTGTGCAAGGAAAGACGATTTAGACAGAATTGAGTAACCAAAATCCTGGCATTTAAAAATGGCAGTGCCCATGAAAACATTGTGCATATATTTCTGAGAAATTTTGATATTTTTTCAAGTTTGGGATTTTCTCTAACTCACGCAGAAAAGCTGGTCATTTCAGTTTTTAGAAAAGCAGCAAATGGAAATACCAAATTCCCCACTTCAATTGACAGATTCTTATTTTGGAGGAAAAAAAAACTGAATAAAAATCTATATAAATAAAAAATAAGTTTTTCATAGTTGAAATGTTATGGCCAGTCAAAAATTGCCAAATATTTGTCTTAAATGTCAGTGTTAAAATCTAGAGCCAGTGAATTTGACACTATGGAGGTGACATAGAAAATAACCTCTTTAAAGGATTATGTGCCTTAATAAGACAATGTAAATAGCTTTTTCTACTTTTTCAAGTTCTATCTTGATGAATATGAAGGAAAAAATATCCAAAAATAAGCTAAAAGACTTAAACTCAGGCTATAAATAGGTTTCTACTATTACGTCAATGCTACTTTTTTACCCCCAACTCCCAAAATCATCATTTTTCTCTTATTCTTTTAAACTACACCCAACAGCAAAGCCTCTGATCAGGAGGTTTTGAGGAGCATAGAACCACCTCTTAATTGCTATTGTTCCCAGGTTCATCCTGACCCAGGGTGTTAGCACCTGTTAGGATCCCAGCTATGGGGAAATAGATAACCCCCAAACTGGCGTCTACAAACTGATTTCTTACAAAGAATACATATTCTGTTCATACAAACTTATCCTAAAAATCTTGTTAGCATTAAATAACCCACTGAGGTTGATATACCATAAAACAAAATAAACCAAACCAATTATATTTTTTAAATTCTAGCGCCTTGCAGCTTGGAATACCACAAGGGGAACACAATAAAATATATATTTTTCTGAAAGGTAAATCTTTGAGTTTTATTTTAACCAAAATCAATCTGTGTCAATTCCAATCTTTCCCCTGAAGATTTTCCCTCCTGAATGCCACTAAAAAATAAAGTGGATTATTTTAAGACAATAGTAACCAAATGAAATTCTGTTATTTACTTTTATCTTACACCTCATCAATGGTACGCCATGTGTTTCAAGCAAATATATCTGACTCATGGCCTGCAATTTGTGCTGATCATGAAAAGCAATTGTGGGGATTTCAATAAATTTTGCACAATTTTAAGCAGCAAGATTTACACAAATTGCAAATAAAATACAGTGACATTTGTTTACCAAGTTACAGCCAGACAGGTTTCACAGCAAGCTCATACAAATTAAAAGGAAATTAAAAATGAGACACAAAATTTATCTGTTATTAGCAAAGTTTGAAAATTTAGTCATTTTGTTGAGGGATTACCAATTGTTCATGGAATATTTAATATTAGGATTGTTGATATGATTGTGGATAATATAGTGATAGTATATTTGTTGATGTATTCATGTTTCCTTAAACAAGAGAATAAGTTCTGTTGTTTTTGTTTAGCAGCATATCAATACCTCTATGGGTTATTTAATGCCAAAATCTAAATATTTTGTATGCAATTTTATGGCTTCAACTACAGATATTTAGTACATAATTTTATTCTCTCAGGGCAAATGTATACTTTTTAGATATATAGTTTGGAGATGATAAAATGTATCGTTCGTAATTTTACTATAAAAATGTATTTTTATAATTTAGTGCTGTATTGATTGTAATTTTGCTAAAAAAATGTATTACAACAGTTTTATATATATATATATATATATATATATATATATATATATATCACTGGTATTTTTACCATAATGTATTTTATACTTTCTTAGTGAACAACCAAACAAAAATCAAAACACTATTTTTTTCTCATAGGTATTGCGAGTGTTATGATGGGGTTGTAATATGCTCAATGGAGAACATCTTACAAAAGTTTTCAAATTCTTTACCCATCAATTGCATTTTGTTATCAGAGACTATGGTATCTGTTATGACATATCTCGCAAACAGTTCATGCAAGAAATTCACTGTCACTGAAGATGTTATATTTTTGCACTTATAAATTTCTGGCTGTTTAGTGAAACTATCAACTACCACATTCTATATGCAGTCTTGACTATGCCGTGTCTATCTTTGTGATAGGTAGTTTTGCTGCCAGAGAACAACCACTACAAGCTTTCACTATTTTCTCAATATCTTGGTGCATTCTAGTCCAATATAGGAAAATTCTCATCAGAGATTTAATTCTTGAAATACTAGGATGTCCACTATGAAAATCCTTCAATATTTGCTTCTGTAACACACTAGGTATTACAACTCTTTGCCCGAACATTACTACACCACTGCATAGCGAGTAAGTGTTCAAGTCTAGATTTCGTTCTTTGTTACTTTCTTTCAATTGTTTTTAATTTGCACAATAAAGACGTCATTTTCCACATTTTCTTTTATTTCATCCTGGGTAACTGGTAACTCAAAATAATTTTTCATAACCTTTTTTTACTTGAAAATCTACCTTGAATTTTGAATACCAATCCAATTCATTTGACAGAACATCTGGAAAACATTTTTTAATTCTTCCTTAAGATATTCACTCTGACTTTTTAAATTGGTCGTTTGTCCACTTATGTTTTTGCAATAAACGTTTATCAGTAAATTCCAAAGTTCAAATAGTTCCATCCAGTCAATACCAAATAAATTCATAGCATTTTTTAATACATAAGCTTTATTTTTTACATGCTTATTATAGAATGAGACATTACATGTCAGTTCTTAAAAAAAATCATTTCTCACCAAAAAACTGAAATTGCGACTTTGGAAGTTCTTTTTAATAAAGGCTTTCCAATTTCCTTCCATGTGGTTTCACAGATTATTGAAATATCACTACCAGTGTCCAGTAGCATTTTCACACCCACATTATTTATTTTCATATTCTCAAATATCCTTTTATTTTCTGTGACGATTTTTTCCATCGCAATGACGTGTACGAATTTCTTCCTGCAAGAATTTTTTATTGGTATGGTTTCTCAGTGTGACTTTATATGTTCTCTTTTACCACACTTGTAGCATTCTACATTTTTAAATGGACAGTTATTTCCAAAATGTAATTTACCACATCTGAAACAAGGATTTATTCTCCTTTTTATACATTTGTTCTTTGCTTATACCAATGCACATTCTTTTTTCTGAATTTCTCTGCATCATGTTTTTGACTTAGAATTGTCTGGCAATTATCAACTATTTCTTGCAGTATAATATTACTGTTTTGTTCAATTTTCATTCAAATTTTCACTCATATTTTAGCATCTTTTTTACCTGTTAAAACTTGAACAAAAATGAACCCTTTGAACATATCTGGAGTCATTTCCTTTATTCTAAACTTTTCACATTTTTTGTTGATGATACAGGCATATTTGACAAAATCCTAATCCTCTTTTTTGGTTAGATTCCTAAGGCACCTCCTATGAGCATTAAACAGAGCTTTTGTCAGAATGTGTACTGTGTCTTCAAACCCAATTTCACCTGTTTTTTTTAGTAATATGTAGTTGCAGTAATTTTTATACTCTCTTGGAGCTATTTTCCTCAACAACAATCTCATTTTTCTTTCATCTTCCTAGCCTGAATTTGTTCAATATGCAGAAAAAGTCAGTTTCTCATCAGCATTGTATACAAATTCTCATATGGTGTTTTGGACAGCATCTGGCATAAGAGATGTGGAAATTTTTTTTTCTTCATAATTATATCCAAGAACTCCTGTTGCTGTTTTTGTAGTTTTAGCAACTGTCGATTCAAAATTCCAATGTATATCAACTGAAGAAGGCCGGAGTGTACAACGTCTGAAACATTGTCAATTTGGCAATAAAGATGGGGACAATAATCTGAATGATGTAAATAGTGTAAAAAAAGGAGAGGTTAGTTCTTGATTGTATGAGGTGATTTTTTTTAAAGGAAAACTACATGCCTATTAACAAATGCTTAAATTTTAAAAAAAATATCAAATACAATCAAAAACTAAGCTCTCCTGATCAACAGGTAAAAATATAATTATAATTTTCCAATGTCAATCGTCCTATTCTGTCTTCTTAATTCCTGTTCTTTTATCATTCTCTCTCCTTAATGTTTTTTTCTTTTCCTCATATTCTCTCACACTCATTAACGCCTTGCTTGGAATGAAATGATTAAGGAAAAAAAATAAAGATTTGCCAGCTTATTGATAAATTATTATAAGAAATATTTTAAATCATTTCTGAAAATGACATAAATCATAAAAACAAATTTCTATGCATTGACATTTTGTTTCCCTTTCCACACACACACACACACACATGCTAATCTTGGGTTCCAAGTATCACCCCTCACTCACTCATTGCAAGATACACCACTGTTACCCTGTTGTGATCAACCTGACTAATACAATAACCATTATTAATCCATGCACTAAAATACTAAGTGTAGCTTTGTTTTGGCAGGATTGAACTCACTACTCACTTGTAATAACCGTCGAAATTGGCTCAGTAACCATTGCTCCGTGCCGATATTTTATTTTTATTTTTTTCCCTTGTTTTTTCTTTTTTCGTTTGTTCTTTGTCAAAGTGAAAGGGTAAGTGAAAAGACAATGCAAGGGAGAAGACTCTTACATTTTACGTTAAAGGATATTTTTTTAATGGTGACTTTTTTTGTGTTCTACGATAAATATGAACCACTCCTCACCAAAACAAAATGACAGTCCTGAATGTGGGAGACATTTCCCTGGCATAGGCTAACACATTGATATTAACAGATTAGAGGGGAACATTGAGAGAAACAAAAAGAGGTTGTTATTTTGCACCAAGATTTTCAAAAATCTTCCTGTCTCATAGCAAAAAGAATAAAAATGAAACTTAGTCCTACGTGATTAAAAAAAAAAAATCAAGTAGAGAAAATATTTGCATCCGTGACAAAAAACAGATCGCACCTTTTAAAATATGTACAAAATTTAATCATAAAAATTGAATCTGGGTGCAGACTATAGGATACTAATTAGCAAGCTCATATAACAACACAGTATCACAAATCATCATGACTGAGTGTTTGTATGTACTGACCTTGTTCCACTACTGATCACACTAGATTATGCAATCTCCCAGAAACTGTAACTAAGGTGTGCTCAGCATAGTTGGAGTATAAACCACAAATTGGCACTGTTCGTGTTGAAGAAACACATATGTAGCTGCATGGATGTTTGCAACAGGGATCAACTAGTTACGCTGGTAGAAAGGTATAGTCGGAAATGGGCATCGAATCAATACTTACATATAATAGCCTTGTGTCAGACTTTTCCATACTTAGTAAATAACCATACAAATTGAGCTGGGTTGTTAAGGCATTTACAAAACTTTATTTAGTAGTGCCTGTCTTCTCTCTAAGTAAAAAAAAGTAGGTATGAGTTGAACAGAAGAATCCCTGACCTGATGACAGTTGTATGATCAAGAACAGTGGTCAGCAAATTCTTTTGGGAGACATGAGCCAGATTGGTACTGTTTTTTTTAGATTTGTGATTTAAGAAAAATTCACAGTGAAACTATGGATCATTATGCCATGTCACAGGTCCCATAACCTGTTAGGATTGTAGGGGGAATCATATGTACTGCAGCCATAGCAGCTGCAGTGTGTCTAGGGCATGATAACCTGATGAAACCTATCCTTCTTCAGTTTCAAATTCAGAATTTTCCTTCTTTTAATTGGGTTGCCAGTTCAAGGCAAGTGATCCCAGTCAACCCAGTTGTTTAACTCATAAATGTATTTCTATACTTTCATAGTGTTTTGACCCCAGTTTGGGAGTTCACTATATGCTCATATACTCAGAAACCTTAACAAGTGGTACCACCACGGGTCAGGGTGAACCTGAGTACAGCAGTAATTAAGAGATGGTTCCACACTTCTCAAAACCTCCTGATCAGAAACCTTAATTAAAAAACTTTTACCAACAATACATTTTTGCTAAGGAAAAAAAAAAATATTACCAGCAATACATTTTTGTTAAGGAGAAAATTATTACCAGCAATACATTTTTGTTAAGAAAAAAATTATTACTAGCAATACATTTTTGTAAAAGAAATTACTACTGCTCCCAAGAAAATTAAATTTTGGCATTAAATAACCCATAAGGAGTTGATATGCTGTTAAATAAAACAAATCAATGAGACCAGACTCTCGACAAAAACCCTCTTTCCAAAAATATGTCAATGAAACCTGATCTACAAACTGATTTCTTACAAAGAATACATATTCATAAGAACCTATCCTAAAAGTCTTGTCAGCATTAAATAAACCATTGAGGTTGATATGTTAAAATCAAAATAAACCAAACTAAACTCAAATAAACCTAGACCTATATAAAGTTAAGATAACATGACATGTTTTGATTGTTTACTTTAAACAATGTTTTTAAGAATTAATGACAAAGGGGAAAAAGTTTCTTGTGACATGTTTTGTCCTTGAGGAATTTACCAGACTAAAATGATATTTATGCTGATGTGATTGCATATATGCACAAAGGAGAGGGGATGCCGAAATCTTAAAATGAATTTTTTTTTAATATGTGTTTGTATATACATTTTATTTAATTTCTTTTTATTTATATTTTTATCACTTTTGTCATTAAGTATCCAACATTGTGATACGATAAGATATGCCAAGAAAGATGAAATTTACTGTGAATGATCTAGCACTTAAAGCACTTTCTATACACTTTCATCTTGGTAAATTGCTTTTGATAAGATTCAATAGCAGCACTCTCGAGAGTTTTTCCTTCTAAGTAAGTTTCTATCTCTTTTAATCAGTGTAACATTCTTCAGATCAAAGTTGTGGTTGAGTTCATTTCTATGTATAATTAATTCATTTGATAAGTTGTGTATAGGATCACTTTTGTATTTATCAATATGTTTTTTTTTAAATTTCTGCAAGTTTCCCCAATGTATTGTGAGGAGCAATTCTGGCAGTTTATTTTATATATACCTGCTTCAGAATGATTATTGTTATGGGTCTTTTGGGTACAAATCATATCCATAATGGTTTGGGATGTGGTTGTAATTATTTTAATATTAGATAGATTTTTTGGGATAGTGAATATGGTAGTATTATGTGTCTATTTTTATATTTATTATTGTTGTTGTTATATATCTATAATTCTCAAAATGTGTGTGTGTATGTATATGTATGTGTGATCAGATGTTTTTTATGCATTTCCACAGCTTTCATCTGATTTCGATGAAATTTTTTTGTTTGATAGATAATTCTTCAGTGCTGATTTTGAGTCCAAATTGTTGGCGATAATGGCTCTCTACTACTTCCAGTCTATTATAACTCTCAGCAACCGTTTACTATTTGTTCTTGGATATATATCTTTCATAAAAAAACTTTAATAAAAATTAATACTTTAAATTATTACAATAATATTATCTATATCTATAATTCTCAAAATGTGTGTGTGTATGTATGTGTGTGTATGTGTGTGTGATCGGATGTTGTTTATGTGTTTCCACAGTTTTCATCTGAATGCTTCTGCAAGCGAGGCTGAAAATGATGATCAAAGGACTTCAACTGCTGCTGCTTGGGAGGCTGAAACAAGATTGAGAATGCAAAAACAGCCCTTTTCACCCCCCATTCAAATTGCCCCCCCCTCTTCAAATTGACACCCCCCCCTCCACCCAATTTGGGGATGTGCCTCAGTTGCACCCAATTGTTGTTATTAATATTGATTTTCACAGGTAGGCTGACTTTAAACTTAAACTGCTACAAATGAACAGCAAAAATTCCCAGTAATGAAAAACCTGGTTGAAGACAGGTTATTGAAGACAGGTGTCTTATATAATTTTCTCTTTTTGGGAGGTCATAACTTTCCCAGATTTAAAACTTTGTGTTACATTTGCTCTTTGTTCCATTAATGACAACAGGACAAAATTGAAAATCTTCCTAATTCTTCTTTTCAGGAAAGTTTTGAAGTACCAGTTGAAGCAAAGAAGCTTAACTTACCGAATAAAACCGTTTCCTTTGCCAATATGCCGGAAGGTGATGCAGCCTCTTTAAATGAATCGAATAAATCAACAATCCCTATTCTTCAGGTAAGCAAAGATTTGGAAAAGTCTTTTAGTTAAAGGAAGTCTTTAACTAGCATATATTGTACATATATTTCTGCTTTTAGTTAAGTTTTTGTGGTTCGCATTTGAACATTGCCAGTATAGATAGGTAGTAGGATAATTCTTTTATCAGAAACTTTGGGAATAAAATGAACTGACTCGAGGGTTAAAAATAAATAATATATTTTTATTTATTTTCTTTAAAGTAGTGAGTGAGTCCTTTGGTATTTGCCAAAGCAGATATTGATAGCAGTCTGAAGAAATATCTGTTTCGGTAGTTGAAAGTCATACCATGATAGGGGTAGTAGTAATATCAGAAATTAGGTCAGATGTCAGTCTGCTGTGTTTTCTCTCATCCCTGAACAGTCGAAATGTAACTAGCAGATGACTTCCTAACTGTTTCTTCATGCAATGCTATGTTCTTTTGTTCTGTTTCTTCTAGTGTTGTTCGGGTCTCCTTTCTGCTCCTGGCCAAGAGGTGTCTAGTTTTATATCCTCAAGACTTTGGCGCAAACATCAAAAAATCTCTTTGTGTTAATTTTTTTTAATTGGCCAAATTATTTTATTTTCTAGCATTCCTTTTTTTTTAAATTTTTTTTATAATGGAAGTTAGGTGTGGAGTCTTTCTGATTTTGGGTATTTTTTAGTCACAAATAAGTAAGCTCTGCTCCTGCAAACTTCTGGTGTTTTGGGCTGGGTTCAGTGTTTTATTTGTCCTCTTTTTATTTGAGGGTTGCCTTCTTGTAGGTTGAGAGAAGTCTAGAAAGAGAAGTTTAGAGAGAGAGAGTTTTTATATTTTATTTTTATCAGTTTAATGGAGTTTCAGTATTGCTTACTTTTTCTACTGAATGCCTTTGGCATTAACAGTTGAAATGAGAAACTTCAACAATATAAGTGGAATTTCAGCATGGGATTTATCTGTGTACTCACTTGAAAATGGTACATGGACAAGTCTAAAGTGAGAGATTGTATATATATATGGACTAGGGGGAAAAAATGCTCCAGTTTCCTTCTCCTTTTGGGAATGCCTCAGGTGCCAGCTAATAATCTAAGTCCCCTCCTGAGTAACAGGTATTACCTGGGGAGAAGGCCTCCTGGGGTTAAGAGGTAATTTCAGCATGGAAGCTCTGCACATAATCACTTTAATACCTCTCCACATTAAGCAGTTAAACTGTATAGCAATAAGCTTGGCTCTAATTGGCCAGCCACATGTCCCCTATGTCAATTACCTGTCAGTGTCACCTACCTAAACAAACTCCATGTGGGCTATTATTAAGGTGCATAAGTAAATGTCAACATTCACAAGCAGGCAGATATGAATATAAATTTTGACGTTGTGAAAATATTCAGCTCATCCACAAAGAAAAAGATGAAAAGAAGAAACCAAATGAAATGTAAATCTGAAATTTTTATATTCTAAAAACTGTTGAGACATTTTACAATAATAATGTCTTTCTTTTTAGCTCAGTTTCTTCTTACGAAGACAGTTTTTGTATAAAAGGAAAGACTTTACCAAAACCCTTAGGCTTCAATTGCTCAACACCATGCAATGCTTAAATGATTAGTACTCATATCTTCACACAGTGAAAAGAATTTGGAAGATCATTTCCATTGATTATTTTTGGTGACAAGCCTGTTTTTTTTTTTAAATTAAAAAATCTAAAGTAATTTGCAATAATCACCTTTCATTTCCAGTTATTTGTATTTCTCGGATTTTCTTTTTCTTTAACTACTAATCATAGTCATTGGTAGTTTAGAAGCATTTTATTTTGCATATTCAGTGTTTGTATTTGCTTATTCAATGTTTATTTTCTTAAGTTCTTGTAAAAAACCAGCATTTCATTTTGCTTATTCAATGTCTATTTTCTTACATTCTTGTAAAAAAAAAACAGCATTTCATTTTGCTTATTCAATGTCTATTTTCTTATGTTCTTGTAAAAAAAAAAGCACCATTTCATTTTGCTTATTCAATGTCTATTTTCTTACATTCTTGTAAAAAAAAAGCACCATTTCATTTTGCTTATTCAATGTCTATTTTCTTACATTCTTGTAAAAAAAAAGCACCATTTCATTTTGCTTATTCAATGTCGATTTTCTTACATTCTTGTAAAAAAAACCAGCATTTCATTTTGCTTATTCAATGTCTATTTTCTTACATTCTTGTAAAAAAAACCAGCATTTCATTTTGCTTATTCAATGTCTATTTTCTTATGTTCTTGTAAAAAAAACCAGCATTTCATTTTGCTTATTCAATGTCTATTTTCTTACATTCCTGTAAAAAAAAAAGCAGCATTTCATTTTGCTTATTCAATGTCTATTTTCTTACATTCTTGTAAAAAAAAAGCACCATTTAATTTTGCTTATTCAATGTCTATTTTCTTACATTCTTGTAAAAAAAAGCACCATTTCATTTTGCTTATTCAATGTCTATTTTCTTACATTCTTGTAAAAAAAAACAGCATCTCATTTTGCTTATTCAATGTTTCTTAAGTTCTTGTAAAAAAAGCTGCATTTCATTTTGCTTATTCAATGTCTATCTTTAGTTTTTGGAAAAAAACAAAGTGTAAAATATATATATACAGTAACTTTTCAGTAAAAAGTATTAGTTGATACAAGCAATGGGAGACAATTGCCTGTAAATGCAATGTGTCAAGTTGTACTATTGTGCTAGTCAGAAAGTTCTGTTATTTTTTAGATGGCATCAGGAGTATTTAATTTTAATTGACATAATTTAAAAAAGATTGCTTTTGATTGCCTTGTAATAGTTGCCTATCTGAGTGTGGCTTATGACCACATCACGTTGAAATGCTGGTTCATATATGATCACTGAAGTTAAGCAACATCTAGCTTGGTCAGTACCTAGATAGGTCACTGCTTGGGAATACCTGGTTCTATAAGCTTGGATATACGGGTGGTGGTGCAATGGATAATGACTCAGAATTGTTAATCAAAGCTGTTTGAATTCCAGCTGGGTTTGTTATATTCCCTTATGCACAAATACCTTTGGTAAAGGTATATATCCACCTCTTCTCTCCCCAGCTATGGGTTAATTAGTAAGATGTGTATCATTAAATCATTACTATTTCCAAAACAAAAAAATTCTTACAACCTAAAAATATTTTTTCTGGCTTTAAATAATTTGCAATGGGTTGATAAGCTGTAGAAATTGAATCAATATCTGTGTGAATTTTTTAAAAATCATCAAAATTATTTATTGATTTTAATATTAAAGAGGGAAGAAGATAAATTTTCAGCATATTGTGATAATGTTAAGTGCAGTGGTAAAATTAGCTATTTCTATGCAGGAAACATGTAGGAAATTCTGTTGTCCAGGTTTTTTATATAAATAATCTGAACATCTGAGTTCCAAACAATAGTAAAATAAAAATAAAGAAAACAGATATGCCTGTTTTAATAAATCATTTGTATTTACAAACATATGTACATGAATTCAAAAGAGTCAAAAAGGAGTAAAAATAGTCTGTAGTTGAGTTAAAGTCTTTTGGTTGTTGGTTCACAGAAAAATCTACAGTTCAGAAAAGACTTTTAGTAGTTGATCCACAGTAAAAACTATGATTGAGAAAAGACATTGATCCTTAGTGAAGATTCATTGAGTGTCCATGCGGTTGTTGTTGGAGATGATTCATTTGAAGTCTCCAACATGTTTCCTTCAGTATGTGTTGGCAGTGGGGAAATTGTGTAACCATGTCTTCCCTTGTGTTTGAACAGCTTGTAGGCAGTCATATCTCTGCTCCTGAAAGTCAAAATCTGTGGATTTTTATAAGAAATTTTTCCTAAAAGCTGGCTCGATGAAAACAGTATTTTAGTTTTATTTAATTGATCAAATATTTCACACAGTAATATTAATTTCAAACAATAGACACTTTGATTTAAACAGTGTGTGTTGTATTGTGGAATCTTTTTTGTATGTTTATAAATATTGTCTGTTATTGGGGAGAAAATAAAAAGTTTGGGTGTGTTTTAATATGGTATTTATGTGGCTATGTAACTGTGTTAGAAATAGGGTTTATTTCCTATAAACATTGACTGAACAGATAGTGTTACTGTTGACTGAAATTTATGAAATCTTTTTCTGAAAACAGTTTTTCAGGAAAGCATTTTATAAATCAGGTTCTGTCTGACAGCCAATTTTTTTTTCTAATTGTTAACCCAATACAAAGCACAAGATAGAGGGTTACTGTGGTTGTTGAATGAACAAAAGGGGAGGAGGTAAAAAGTGCAGTGCATGAGGATATGTAGGAAAGATAACTGTTAACTCTAGACTTGAAGAGGTTAAGATTGTAGTGATCAGGGAACTACCCTCTCGAGAGCCTGTTCCCTAAAGTTGTAGCTTTTTGTAACTGAACAAATAGAACTTCCTTCTTAATAAAGGAATACAAAGAGAATGGGGATAATTCATTTCAAGTGGACATGGCATGGAAGATCTTAGGTGTAAAGGTTAAAAATGGTGAAATCTAGCTATCTGAACATTTGCCATGGAAATAGCAATAGAGTGCTGAGAGGTTTGCAATGTTTCATCTGTGGGATAGAGGTTGTAGAGTGGAAAATAGTTTATCTCTCACAAAGCCATGTAGATACTTCTGGACTCTATCAAGAGTGAAAAGTGAGGACTGGGCAACCCCAGATCAGATATGGCAGCAGTACTCCATTTTTGGTCTTGTAAAGATAGCGCATAACAGGTAAAGTCAGGTATTTATTGGAGCATCTTATTGAAACACCAGTTCTTGTATGATCACCGAAGTTAAGCAATGTCGAACCTGGTTAGTACCTAGATGGGTGACCATTTGGGAATACCAGGTGCTATAAGCTTGGATGTATGGGTGGTGTAATAACTCAGAATTGTTAATCAGGGAGAGCCAAGTTTCAATTCCATCTGGGTTCTTTACACCTACTTATGCACAAATACCCTTGGGAAAGGTATGAATACACCTCTTCTCACCCAGTTATGGCTTAATTAGTAAGATGTGTCACTAAATCATTGCTATCTCCCCCACCCCAAAAAATAATTTTTATGATCTAAAAATATTTTTTCTGGCTTTAAATAATCTGCAAAGGGTCAATAAGACATTGAAAATAAATCAACCAAACCATTATTGGAGCAGTATAGAATTGATAATTTTTCCAGCATCTTTAGCAGTGAATCATATATATGAGTTCCACTTGGGGTCTGGAGTGAACTCGAGTCCCAATAGGCATCCAAGGTAAGGTGACTCCTTGAAAGAACAACCATTCATTATGATAGGTGAAAAATTTAGGGTTTCCATCTACAAGACAATTATTTCAGAATTTGCCATTAGAATCTTCCAGTACATTTTGCATAAACCCTTTTGATACACAATGGGTATGGAATATTTTTTCTTGATTTGGTGTTTATTCCAAAGAATATGGTCTTCTTTTGTAGAACACAGTGTCAAAGCTGAATCCCGAAGACCTGAAGAAGCGTCAAGAGTTTCTCCGTCAGCAGAGAGACAAACTGATTGAAATGAAGAAGAATGAACGCAAGAAGCAATTGATGAAGGCCGAAAAGGAACAACCGCAGCGTCCAAAATCTGCTCGCACAGCTCATTCAGTTCTCTCTGTGATCAGTGATGGCCACATGCCAGGTGGGGAGCAATTGAAAGACACTCCCAACAAAATTCCTGACAGTAAGGCAATGTCTATGCGTAGGGTCATTGCTGACCGAATTAAATTAGAAGTGATGTCCAAGAAATGAGAAGAGAAACTAGAGTGTTTGAAAATGTGAAGTTTCAGTTTCAAAAAGAAAAGAGAACAATCAAAACAATATTTATTTTACTTCAACTTTTATTTCTTACTCTGCACATATGATTATAATAAAGGCATTTCAATTCAGCTGCTTAAAGCAGAAAATTATTTAGTAATATTTATATTTGGATATAATTGCGTGAAGATTTAATTGTCAAATCCTTAAATAATTACATGGTAATTATGTGATCATCAAATAATTCAATTAGTGAGTAATTTATGGATACGATTTTAATTGCCAAGAAATTTATGAATATGATTTTAATTGCCAAGTAATTTTTGAATAAGATTTTAATTGCCAAGTAATTTATGAATAAGATTTTAATTGCCAGTAATTTATGAATAAGATTTTAATTGCCAAATAATTTATGAATAAGATTTTAATTGCCAAGTTACTTATGAATAAGATTTTAATTGCCAAGTAATTTATGAATAAGATTTTAATTGCCAAATAATTTATGAATAAGATTTTAATTGCCAAGTAATTTATGAATAAGATTTTAATTGCCAAATAATCTATGAATAAGATTTTAATTGCCAGTAATTTATGAATAAGATTTTAATTGCCAAGTAATTTATGAATAAGATTTTAATTGCCAAGTTAATTATGAATAAGATTTTAATTTCCAAGTAATTTATGAATAAGATTTTAATTGCCAAGTAATTTTTGAATATGATTTTGGTAGGGATACAAAGGCATAAAGACAATGTTTCACTTTCTGGCACAAGATTAAAATTTACTTTTTTGTTCACTGCATCTCTGCAGCAATTTTGTTATTAAAAAGCAAAAAACAGTGAGTAAAGAATAATACAGGTGCACCACTGATTTTTCCTGCAATCAATGATCCAGTACCTCTTTTAATGCAAAGCACATTTGAATTTCCTGCAATAATCAGGCCAATTCACTGAGCACCCAGAGGTAGCATTATGTGTGGCACAGGTTTAATGTAAGTTTCTAACAGTCGATAATACTGTCGGGATATGAGATATGCATAATTCAGGAGTCAAAGGTGGATTATATGAACCAAGAGTGCCAGGAATATCAGTGGTGTAACTGTAGTTTTAAATTTCTTATTTCAAGTATTAATTGTATCAACAGCATTAAAGAGTTTTAAAAAAGTTTATTTGCTGACCTTACAGAGAACTAAAAACAATGAGAGGGTTGTAATGTATTCCAAGAACAAGTGAATAAAGTATTTATAGATATTGTGTATTTAGGGAGCAGTCACTCTTTAATATATGTTTCATTGAACAAGACTGATGAAGTACTTATTACTATCATTTGCTATAGTAGTCTAACAAAATTTCCTTGTAAATGGATGGGTGCGTGGTTGGTATAATGGATAGTGGTTCAAAATACAAAACTAGAGAGCTGAGGTCAAATTCCAGTTGGGGTCAGGATATTCACTTCCATGCAAATGCCCAAGGGAATGGTATGAATCCATCTCCACCCCCATCTAAGGGTTAAATAGTAGGGTTTGTATCTTGAAACATCATTGTTAATCTCAAAAAATTGTTAATGCAATATTCACTCACAAAAAAAAAAAAAGGATTTATTCTTATAATTCAAAAAATGTTTCCACTTTAAATAACCCACAAAGGGTCGATAAGCTGTAAAAAAAATCCAAACAAATCACTCAATCAATGTTTTAAATGGCTCCAAGTTTAACTAAAAGCACTTGGAACACAAAAACTTTTGGACAAATTTTACAATCACTAAATCTAGAAAAGACAAGACTTGTACATATACAAAAAAAAAAAACAATAAAAAAAGCTAAACTAAAGCACTTTGTCAGTTTTATTTGGTATTCCACTGAGAATTTTGATATAAGTTTAGTAAATGTGCCAGCTTGAATAATAATTAATCACTAACTTTACAATGATTGGTTTGGTACATATTTCTTTAATTGTGCCAGAGCTTGTATTTAATACACAAGAGTACTATAGAAATGCATTGGAAATAATTTTTACAATTGGAATGTATTGGAAATGATTTTTACTAAAAGAATGCATTTGAAATGGTTTTTACTCTATTTTTTTTACCGAATATAAGAACTGTATGGGATAGTGATGCCAGTAGGAATTTTTCAACTCACAAAATAAGTGTACTGTTACAAATAAAACAATAACTGTGCTGGAGAGAAAATTATTTGAAAAATAAGAATGCCATGCCAAATAAGTACTGTGTTATGAGTTGGGGGTGGGGAGTAATGAAAAGGAAATAATCATGCTGCAACTTGTATTTGGTACACAAGAGAAAATAAATTTAAAATGTTAATCTACATTATAGGCTAAAGGTTAGGGGCCACACTTTGGATGTCAAAGGATTGCCTAAAAATTAAATGTTATGTGTCTCTTTTCAATACTGATTTACATTTCAGGCCAGAAGGACTCTCTCTTCCTGAAGTATTTTGTCATATATTCAATAATAATAATGAAATTAACCTATTATGGCATTAAGTTTGCCTATTGCCCTGTTCACATGACTTTCATTGTCTTTTGAACAGGAGTAGAGGTTTATCCCTTGTTTACTATTTAAGATTGGATTACTGGTTCCTCCTTCTAAAGCCTTCTTATTTTCTTTCACCCCCAGTAACCCCCTTGCATTTTAGAGACATTGTTGCCTTGCTTGAGGTGAAATGATTTTTAAAAAAAAAAATGTTTCCTTAAAGTTTTATCTCTTTTTGTCTAATCTACCTTGCTGGCTCATCTATGGGCTGGTGAATTTTAAGTATTCCCCCTCCTCTAGAAAAATTAAATGCCATACACTTGTCCTGTTTGCGCAAGATGGAAACCACGTTTTTATAAATCTGAAAAAGCTTGCCTGCTAAAGGCTACACAACCAATGGAAAGAATCAGCATAGGTTTTAAGGGACTTCTTCCTTCTAACTTGCAGAACTGTTATATGTCAATGATAGTAGACGAGTACTCTTGGTTTCCTTTTTGGTTTTGCTTGCTCCAATATGTGTGGTAAATAAATGCTTAGCTCAGATTTTCACTGTGTTCAAGACTCCTTCCTACATACACTTCGACTGGGGTTCCACTTTTCTATCCAAGGAACTGCATGAGACTTCACTAATTTGTGTATAGCTATGAGTCAAACAACCTCTTACAACCCCAAAGGGAATGGTCAGTGTGAACGATACAATGGAATTATCTGGAAATACGTCACACTGGCCTTGGCTTTGAGAAATCTGCAAGAATTTCAGCAGGAAGTTGTTCTACCCGCAGCACCGCAATTCCATAAGATTTTTACTCTGTACTGAGATGAACACTACATGCCATGAAAGAATATTTTCATATCAATGCTGATCACCTAGTGGCCATTCCTTCAATTTACTTATTTATTAAATTGTAATAAGAAACAGAATTAAAGAAGTACCTTAACGAAGGCTTTAATAAACAGACTAGTTCACGATAGGTCTAAGAGCAAATATTAATACATCGAATACAAGTAAAAGAGGATATATATATATATATATATATAGTACAGCAAAAAGGTGGATAATTTCTGAAGAGTCCAAATCAAGGGGAGTTAATGCATATGGCAGTACTAATGGGTCAAACAGTTTCAGCATCCTAGCTTAGGAGTTAATTACGTCAAAGAAAGTATGAGACTTAGTAATTATTAAATCCAGAGGACATCTTCAAATTTCTGGTTTTGGTGTACTACTAGTACTGGTAATAATTAGAATAAAATGCTGCCTTTGTCTTCTCTTTTCTCCCATGAATCCTTTGAATCGCTGAAGCAAACACTTGACTTGAGAAAAGGATGTGCTTCCAATCAGAAGTCCTCCTTGTGACTGATACTTAAATGACCAACTCATAAAAGCACAAAAAACGAGAAAACACTTCACTTACAATTTCTTTATGTAAAGGCGATACAAATTAAGACAATGTTCTTTTTGGCTAATTTGATTGCTACCATTTGACCTGCTCTTTAACCTCTTGCCTATCACCCCTCTCAAAAAAAAAAAAAAGCTCTAGCACAACTGGTACATTCATTTATTTGTAGCATGAAAATGAAAAAACATTTTCTTAAAAAAGGAAAAGGAATTCATTTTATTTTACGATCAATCAAAAACAAAATCATCAATATCTAACCCACTTAGAATATTATCTTATTAATAAACTTGCAAGGATACCCATTTTCATATGAGTCAAGTGCTTTTATTTTGCTTGGGTGCACTGTACAGTGATTTAATTGAGAGACTTGTAAATGCCAGAAAATAGTATTGAAAGATTTACATATTCCAAAACATAGTACTGAAGGATTTGCATATGCTGGAAAATGGTACTGAAAGATTTGCATATGTCATAAAATGGTATTGAAAGGTATACATATGTCAAAAAATAGTGCTGAAAGATTTGCATATGTCATAAAATGGTATCGAAAGGTATACATATGTCAAAAAATAGTACTGAAAGATTTGCATATGTTAGAGAATGGTACAAGTAAATTCACGAATTTGTTGTAGTTAAAGCAGTCATTTATTTCATCTATGATATGTAATAGTTATGGCACAATGGCAAATGCAATAGTAACTGAATGGTTTTGGGTTTGAGTCTCCTTGAAGAATTAAGTGAACAGGACAGAGAAGTTACTGATGCTATTGCAATGAACAATAGAGTATGTAATGCCTCTTGTATTAAATAAAGCATAGAAAATTTGGTACTACTTTAGCAGGTGGTCTACTGCAGTTTCCACAGTCTATGGTGTGAAATTACCTTTAGCATACAATCTACATTTCATGGTATGAATTTATTACCTGTGTTTAACTTTTTTTACCCTTTTGACCTGAGTGCTTCTGACTGGTCAATAGTCTAACTTTCACGTGCTTCTCTTATTTTTAACCTGAGAACTAACCCTAACCCTGTAACATTAATGTATTCCATCATAATTGTTAACTATACTGACTCTTGTGGTCCTACCAAGGATTGAACTCACCA